CCTTGTAGATCTGTAATAATCAATAATTGATATGTTAATTAATCAATAATTATCACCAATTAAACTGTTCAACCAACTCACCCATCACTATCTTCATATAACTTAACAATGTTGTCTGCTACATCAACGGATCTCTAGAAAAACAACAGGCTTGTATTAAAAATTGTTAGATAATATTCTTTATTATGTAGCACCGTAGTGTTTCAGTGTAGCACTGTAGCGTTAGTATGGCTGTAGCGTTTGTATGGCTATAGCGCTGTATCGTTTGAGGGTCGTGGCATTGTTCGGAATTGGAAGCAGAGAGCCAAACTCTACATCGTACATAGAAAGACAGTTCGAAATACTGAGAAAACAGTCTATGACATATACGTACACGGAAATGAGGCCTGTAGCGCTGTAGCGTGCTACGAGAAATGCTATGAGAAATCTGCAATCCTAAACTATGCCGGGTATATTATTATGGTATTAGCAAGAGATAATCGAGAATTCAGGAAATAAGGTAATGTTACTAAAAATTAAATACCGGTATAGGCTTTACACCTAGTCATAATTACATGCTATGATTGGATGAATCACATGAAAACAATGAGAAGCCATTACAACGTTACAGCATGCCATGAGTTGATTAAGTCAGTACTGTATGCTTCCCATTCCTCATGAAAACGGCTCTAAAGAAACAGCACTTACCTCGAGTAATGATCGTATTTGGTGGTCAATGTTTATCTTTTCTTTCCCCTAACATATGAACAAAAGAATGGCTATTCAAATGCAATATTTTGATATACAGTACTGTAACCTGTCTCCTTATTATCAAACAAGCAAATTATTCTTGTGGAACAAAGACTTTTCAAATTGAAAATATCATTGCCATGACTGTTGAATGAATTCATCCTTATCAAAGAACGCTAAACACCCCCCCCCCCCCCCCACCCCCTTATCTAAACTGAAGTCTCAAAGTCGTTTGTCTTTGTATTAGTTTATGTGCACAGGCAGTTCAACAGGATTACATTAGCTGGACGAAGGACTTTTACACCAGCCTATTTTAGGAAACGTGCGGTACAGAAATACCAGACATCATTGATGGGAAATGAAAATGAATATCATGCAAGAAAACAAGTAGTAATCCTCTCTTGACTTGGACAATCACTTTTTTCAATTGCTTTACTCATGACTCTGTGAGTCAAGGATGGCTTGGAGCAAGTCTACCTCTCCAGGGCATAAAATAACTGCCAGACATCATACAATGTCCAGCCAGAACTGGAACTTGTCTGGTCAAATCTTGGCTTTACCAGTCGTTTTGACCAGAAATAAGGTATGGCCAAGCTAAAACTAATTTGGCCTGTGATCATGACTGGCGACGGATGGCCCATTTTTTTAAGCCCTGCCTCTCCTCTAATCACAAACCTTTCTGAGGTAAAAAACATGGTACATTGTGGTCTAGCTTCGAAACAAAGATCATTTGCTCATTATTTATGTCTTACTGTATATGGTGTTGTTTGTATCCAAGCTAGACCAGAATGAACTATGAACCAGCACAAACCTATGCACATTCAATAGAAAGTTTATTCTCTGTTTAGTTGCATATTCTCATCCAATGGGGAAATGAGTCTGAACTGAATTGTACCCGGTGTAATCAATCATGTGAATTCAAACTTTCGATTCCATTGATCAAATTGATTGGATTGGATTGCAATCGGCAATCAAATGAAATTGGATTCACAAAAAAAACCACTCATTTTGCATACTGATAATAGAATGATACTTTGTGTTTTTATAGCAACAGATGAACTCTGAATTGAGAATCTAAGGACGTTGATAATAAATTTTCATATGTAAATGCATACATGTAAGATGTCAGCTTTCATAAATTTGTAGGTTTTGTTATATTTACAGGAAAGTTTTTTTAACAAGTAAGTTGTCCTAGTTGGACACCAAGCCAAGATTAGTCAAGACAAATAGCCGATTGTTAATCTTAGTGAGAACCAAAGTATCTTTAGTAAAGACCCATAAAGAATAACTTTGCTTACCGAGGATTTTTTGTTGATTTTGTGCATCATTTCACCGGACATCGCCTCTTCAAGCCTTTCTCGCTCCTCATGAAGCTTCCTCTGTTGTTCTAATATGGTCTCCATGTTAAATTAGATGTATTTAGATCATAACAACACTAAAAGCTTTTAAAAACTTTATAAAATCCAAACGTTTTCACGATGCACGAGTTCAATCCAAAATGGCGGCCAGACACTTTGAGCCCGCAACTCAAGCCATATGCCAGCGGCAATCTAATTATATTYAAATTTATGTTAATTTATACAAATATGTAGCACTCTTGACCATGATTGGTTTATTTATTTCCCAAAATGGCTACAAAAATTCAAATTCCAACACTTCAAAAGTAAACAAGTTATATATTAATGAAGGATCAACAACTTCTGTATGTTAGCCAAATAAATAATCTATCAGAATTTTCAGAAATTTCGCCTCGAAGAMCACAAGTTTTCAAAATGGTGGATTGGTTAGCAACAAGAGCCCGCGATAAGTATGAAATAGAGATCACGTGGTGTKAATGGAGCAATTTGATTGGTCTGTCAGGAGATGACTAGAAATATTGCGTTGGTAAATGGTGCAGAAATCATTCAATATTTTTAGTTGTTTAGTTCAAGGTATTCTTTACAAGTTTTAACTATGAAAAAATCACTAAAGTAACTACAGAGGGCCATGAACATCTTAACTGTTTCACTCTGCAGTCAATATATATCAATTATTCACCCAAAATCGACAACGAAAGTCTTATTTTTGCTTGAATTGAAGCTGTTTGATCGACACACCTAAAGTAAAAAATGGCCGACCAAAAAAAATCAAAAGAAAATCCGATGTCGTTTGAGGCTTTTCGTACAAAGAAAGGTAACGTATRCTTGGTGTTTTGTACAAGTGTTGTGTACCAGTTATGTGTTGTTAAGTAAGAGGTTTTTTTTCGCCGGTCTTAGCTTGTGGTCATTTTTTAAATCCCTGTAGCCGGCGCTGGATCTTCAACTTCAACCCAGAAAACCACGAGCAACGAAGCTACGAAGTCTTCTACGACAAAAACTACGAGTTCTGCAGGACAGGAATCTCGTTCTAGACCTCAGACTGCTTCGAAGAGTAAAGCACCTAGGCATAGATCTGCTTCTGTTGACGGTTTAAATAGTTCTTCAATTTCGATCGAGGCACGTCAAGAAAAAGTCAAACAACAACGTAATAAACAGATCGAGGATAAAAAAAAGAAAAACGAAGAAAGGCGATTGGCTTTTGAAGAGAGAAAAAAGAAGAGAGAAGAAGAAGAGAAAAGGAAATGGGAATCTTTGAAACAACAAGCTGCTATGCATAGACCTGGTTCTGGGAGAAAATTACCTACTTTACCAGATGGACCAAAGAGACCTGCAACTGCTGGAGCAACAAGACCAACAGCTTTACCAAAGGGTCTSAAGACAACCTCTGCTTCTAAACTACCTGGTCAAGGTACAACTAAGAGCTCTGCAAAGAGTCCAGCACAGTCAACTAGCTCTAGTCATTCATCAGATTCAAGYCCTAGACATTCCCCAACCACAGGTAAATCATTACTTTCTGCAAAAAGACCAGGATCTAGTAGTAATCTCTTAACTGAAAACTGTAGAKCTAGCACTAGTAATTTAAATAGACCATCTTCTAAGAGTAGGCCTTCATCAATTCATGGGCCCGATTCCAAATTGTCTACTTCTAGAAGTCATAATTCATTATCAGCGACTAAAAATACTGTTAAAAAGGCACAATCTACCAGTGCATTGCATCGTATCACTACAGATAAACCACATCACCCTAAGAAACATGCCGAGAAACATGAGAAACCAAAGGCTGGCATGCTTGATGAGGCTGCAGCTAAGCAGGCCTTAGCGGAGAGACGAAAACAGGCCAGGGAGGAGGCTGAGCGCAAGGCTAAGCTGGATTTGGAGAGGCAGGAAGAAGAACGCAAGAAGAAGGAAGAAGAAGAAAAGAAACTAGCAGAAGAAACGGCCAAAGAAGAAGAACGGGTGCGAGAACTTGCCAAGTTATTAAAACAACAGAATGAAGAAAAGATGAAAAAAGCCGCAGAAGAGAAAGAGATACGAGAGAAAGAAGAAGCAGAGAGACTTGAAGCTGAAGAAAAGCAAAGAGAAGAGGAAARAAAAATCAAAGAAGAGGAAGAAAGAATTGCTGAAATAGAAGCTGRAAAAAAAGCAAAAGAAGATGAGGAACGCAGAAGGAAAGAAGAAATAGAAAGACAGGAAAGAAGAAGGGTAAGTACAGTATATATTGCCTTTGTTCTCCGGAACAAGTCAGTCATGACGTGTTAATTTTGTATTGTCTGCCACCCACTCCTTCCGATCCAAGTAAGTAGTTGTTCTATTATGTTTTGCATAATATCACGACAKTACTTTCCTTTAATGGAGTGAAATCAGTCAAGCAGTTCATTGGTGTTCATGATTTTGAAAGAAGAATACTTAGTTGGCGTGTTTTGTACTTAAGAATAAATATTTTTTTATTATTTCCACACATATGACAATTTTAATACTTAGCATTTTGGCATCACTGGTTGATACCATTATAATGTTCTGTATTCTTATTGTCCAGAACGTACATCTACCAAGTGTGACTGTTTCCATTCTGCATGATTTTCAAAATATAAAGCTCTTATTCATCCTGTTAGTGTGTATATATATACGAGATTTACTGTCCATGATCACCTGGAGAATTAGAAATGACTAGTAAACAAACCATGCTATCTCTCAACACATTGTGGAATAAGGTTTTTTGGAATATTGTTTTGATGGTTAAGACTTCTAACCTTGGTATTTTTGGCTGATTATGTGGTACTGAGAAGTGGTTCTGGATATTTAAGTACTTTTTTGTGAGCTTTTTTATGTTCTCATCAGACAATCCTCAATCCCACTTGAATGCTTGATATAAACTATATTTAAATTATGACAAAGGGATATCAAAACTCATTGTCTTGTGTGGCAAATACAATGAAGAATTATTGATAAAATCCATTATCTAGTATACTTTTACTATTTAATTCAATTCCTAAAAATCCTTACAAATGAATGTAATGTAATACTTTTTAGTAAATAGAGAAAAATAGATATTAAATCGATGATTACATATTAATTATTGGCAAAGATATATTGGCAATCCTCTTTATAATTGAATGATGTGCTATACTGTGCCAGGGAAAGTTGGCATAGCAGTTGACATGGGTAGCCCTCACTATACCTAATGATTGATTGAACGAAAAAGGAAAACTAATTAATTATCCACAGCTTACTTGAAAACTCTCTGTACGGTAATTATCAAAATTATTGWTGACGCCAAAGTTAAAATATATTAATTTAAAAAAAAAAGTTTTTGCTTTGAGTCTCCTATAATTGGAAAGTTAATTCACAGCACTCTTGTGTCTGAAATGAAAAGAAATTGTATACACTATGATAATGACTGTCCTTCAAATGAATAATTATCACTAGATCAGATTATTCGTGCTTCCGGCACATCTAATCATGCATGAAATCTTTTAGAATTTCTGAACAATGGTGCATTGAATTTTGATCTAAGATTCCTTGCATAAACAACTGGAAATTTAGCCACTAAGCATTATGATCAGCATAAGTAATTGTTAAATTGTAGTTTAAATTACTATATTTCGTTTTATTTTTAAGAAAACAAYAAGATAATTAGAATGAATAATAATCTGACTCTTAATTTATTGTGTCTTACATATCTACTGAACCATGTCCCTCTTAAAATAGAGAACCTTTGAGCTGTGCCACTGCTGTACGTACTTTGTGGTCAGGGTGATTAGCGATGACAAGTTAGAAAGCTGAAAGTCTTATGAGATGTGCTGTATTTACATTGCTGTTGAAGGATGTGATTGCTTCTTAATCATAGATAATAGTATGTGTAAATAGAATTGTTCTATAGCAATTTTTAGAATCTTCTAGACTATTGACTGATATTTACCAAGCTGTTAGGTTTGAATCCAAGCAAAAACAAAACAAAAAAATCACAATTTAGATTCAATCATTGTAGATGGAAGAATGAATTTAGTAGAAACATGAAAAATTATACATCAATTTCTTAAGAAGATTATAAAATTATTATTAATAACATTGAAGATATATTTTTTTATTATTTAGGCAGCATTGTGGCCCTCTTTCCACAATAAAATTGGAATTGAAATGTTGGTTTCTGCAGAGGGAGGAAAACCAGAAAACCTGGAGAGAAACCCTCAAAGCACGGGAGAGAACCAACAAACAACTACTCTCTGAAAGGACAATTGGCGATCTGTGATTGGCAATGCAYGAACAAAAGGAATTTTGTGCATACACCAAAACTCAAAAAATCGAGGTGGTTTTGTTGACTATAAACAATGCTAAATAACTCAACAACAACCTCTATGCTATTGACAAGAATGATAAKAAGAAGAAACACTGGTCAGACAGTCATTCCAGCTAGCTATCTCTTATCATCTATTGTTCTCCCCTTCATCTTTTTTGAATTAGCGGTATGATGGCAGGTCCCTAAGTCAACASCAAGATGCATAAGCTTAGCACACTAACCCTGTATTTGTGTTTTGTTGCTATCATGTTTTGTTGTTATTGTAGTTGTCAATCATAACTCAATCATTACTGTCTTGTCGACAAGAGAATGATACCTATAAAWAGTAAGGGAATAACAAATGATGTGAAATGTTTTTCTTTTAGCGGGTTGAAGAAATCATGAGTCGTACAAGACAAGCCAAGACAGACTCTCCTAATCCAGAGTCCACAGAAACTGCCTCTAATCTGCCACAGGTGAGAAGATGGCTGGCTTTACAATTTATTGCTTTTCTGTGTTTCTTTTCCCCTCATTTTGCTCCTCAGACTATATAGTATTTCTTTAAACTTCTGGGTTTTTTTCTTCTCCAGTTTTTCTTGGCTCCAATAATATTTTCATCCATCCTTTCCCAAAATATTTTWTGACAATTTCTAATATCAGTTTATACTTTCTGGACACTGTTAYATATGAATTCTGTGTTTTCCAGGAGATTAAACCAATGGATGCAGAGGATACCAAACGAAAAGTAAGTGAACTCTTACAGAAGGTCAAAGATAGGACAGACTCAGTGTCACCGGTATCATCTGTAGACAGTGAACCTAGTTCTTTAGTAAATACTGCACAAGATGTACAAGAGGGACAAGAAGCTGCATGTCAATCGGAAAGTACTTTAGACATTGACCAAGGAGAGAAATCTGTTGAGGAAAAATTATCAGATGAAATGGAAAACCCTAAACCTATACAAGAAGTGACAGGCGTATCAGCTGGTAATGATTCTGTCATAAAAGTMAGGGTTCGTATTTCTGAAACGAGGACTGAAGTTAAAGTGAATGGAAGGGAAGTGCAAAGAACATTGAGTCATGAACATGACTCTAAGAATGAACAATTGAATGGGAATAATGTCAATACTAAAGAAACAGATGCCGAGGGATCTAATGATAATCAAGATGACACTAGTATAGACCCTAATGGATCAATCAATGGGCATCAAGAGAGAGGATATGCAGATGTGGTATGTTCAATTATACATTCTGTAGTTCCTATTTTTCCCACTTTCCTCAAACTCAGCTGACAAAAAAATAATCATTATGAGGGGGAAAAAATTATTTTACAATAACTTACAAATTTCTCGCATGCTGATTGGTTATTTTTATCATCAGTAAGAGGACAGATAGACGTCAACAAGCRCGTGCCCTTTCCATTGGTTGTTTTGATCGCTAAAAATGAGAAGTTTTTATCATTTTAGTTATTTTAAAAGACAATTTTACAACCATTAAAAAAACTCTCCGTTTTGGGCCAATCTTCTGTGTGATTCACTCCACATGCATTATCACTAAATTCTTTATTTACAACACACACACATTTAACCCAAATGTTGATTTTTATGGTTGGAGGAAACTGTGGAATCCAAAGAAAAACCCTCATGGCAATGGAGAGAACAGCACTTAACWTGTCAAACCAACTCAACTCACATTATGTGGTGCAATAAAGAATAGACCTCCTTGGCTCTGGAGCACTT